AGGAATAATCTTTTCTTTTATTGATAATTGATCTTTTTTTTATTAAAAAAAAAAAAAAAGAACTTTTAAATAATATTTTTATGTTTATTTTATTTATTACTTATTTTATAAATATTTTGATGATTATTATGCCTATTCTTCCTTATACTCAATTTTTTTTATTTCAAACTAATCAACAACAATTTAAATCATTTAGTATTGGAACATGTTATATTTTATTAATAAGTAATGTTTTTAGAATTGGATTTTATATTGGAAAACCTTTTGAAATTTCATTATTAATCCAAAGTATATTTATTATTATTACTATGTTAGCTTTATTATTTTTATCATCTAAATTACTTCATAATCTAATATATTCAAAAGTTATATCTACATTTATTATATTTACAATTATTATTATATTTATTTCTTTTATTACAAGAAAAATTAATTTTATTGTTCAATGTATTGGTGGATTATCAACTTTAATTGAAATTCTTCTTGCTCTTCCTCAAATAATTAAAAATTATAAAACAAAAAATGCAGAAGGATTACCACTTTCTACTATTATTGGTTGGATTATAGGTGATTTTTTCAAAACTATTTATTTTATTGAATTAAATGTTCCATTTCAATTTGTATGTTGTGGTATTTTTCAATTAATTTGTGATGGTATTCTTGTTTCTCAAATATTAGTATATTCTCCTTTTATTTTTAATAAACAATGTTTTATTCCTTTAAAACAATTATTCAGTTTGTTTTTATTTTATTTTTATTTTAATAAAATTTATTAATGAAGTTAGAAAAAGGAATAATAAAAACTAATGATGAACAAGAAGAAAATTATAATGGATTGTTGATTAATGATAATTGATATTTATGAAAAATAATTAAATTAATTAAAGTATAATCATTATTATTAATCCTATACTGATAAATAATAATGAAGATGAATCATAAACACAATCTTGTTTTAATGAATCAAATACCCACATTTCTTCACAAACATTACATTGAGTTGAATTACATTCTAAACAATTTGTAAAATAATCTTTACATGAAATACATAAAGTAGATGATACTAAAACATAATCATTTTCACATTGAATACATCCAATTGTTTGTTCTTCATAATTTAAACAATGTGGAATAGCCATTTCAGATAAAATACAACCAATATCTGATGAATGAACATATCCTTTATTACATAATTTACAACCATATTTATCATGATAACATTCAGAACAATTTGTTGTTATAGAAGAACATTTTGAACATATTTTTTTATCAATTAATGTTGATTCTTTAGTACATAATAAACATATAGTTTCATTTGTATTTAAATCAATTCCACAATTATCACAATTTTCAATTTCACAATTTGGATAACATTTTCCTTCATTTGTTTGACTTAAATGATATCCTTCTGAACATTCTATACATGTTGTACTATTACTACAACTAATACATCCATTTATTGTATTACATTCAATACAATGATAATTATCTAATGTTTGTGAATTAGTACATTTTGTAATACAAAGTGTTGTTCTTTTATTATTATCTAAATTTACAAATTGTTTTTCTAGTGTATTATCACAACTAGAACATCCAAGTGTAGATAAATCAGTTGGAATTTGGTTAACATAAGGTGATATAGTTAAACATTCATTTTCAAATGAAATACATGTTAAAACATAATCTCCATTATGTAATTTAGTAGCTGTTTGAATTGGTTTTTCTGTTGGACAAGAAATACATTGTTTTAATATAGGATCACATCCACTTTCATCATCACAACCAATACATGTCTGTTGACATCCAATAAATGATATTTGGTTTTCAATTTTTTCAATTCTACTAAACCCTAAATAACATGAGAACAACCAA